CTGCTATCACTACACCAAATTCACGCGAAGCCACCGTCCCTGAGCCCACCGCACTGAGGGGTACACGGTGGCCATTATCGTTCGCGACGGTCGAACTGTCGGGTAGTAAACTTGACGAAGAATCATGAGAAAGCTCCCAGAATTTCAAACATCAACTCCTGTAGGAGTGAAGTATACCTTTCCGCCCAAACATAAAATTCTTAGAAGTAACCCCCTATAGCACGACTATCATAAAGTAAAATTTTGTGCAGACTTTCCTGGAAACAAGTCAATCTATATAAGCATCGAAACAGATCCAAGGGGACGCGGACTAGATCAGTGACCTTTTCCCAGAACGTAGTTCATACGGACGATAAAAAGGGTTTCTGGGCCTGAAGCCAGTCTTATGTCGGAAATTACAAATCAGCCCTCAACACAGCAATCTTTTCTACCATGTGCGTTCTGCTGCCAACTGTAGGCCTCAGGGTGGGAGCAGGCAAAGAGAAAATGGTCGGCCACAAGAGGCTCTTGTAAAAATTCACGTCTACTCCCCCCCCCCTCCCTCTCCTAGACCATCGAGGCAGTGAGAAGGCGGCCGCCGTGCGCCTGAAGTAGTCATGGTGACTCGATGCGGTGAGCGACACGAAGGAGGACTAAAATGGGCCAGATGAAGGAGGTGTCCGACGTGACTTGAAAAGGGACTGCACGGCTAGCATCGGGAATCGAACCAACCCCACGAGAAGGAATTCTGATTCATCCCCGGGGGAAGTCACGTCAGTTTAACCGTTGTCTGACTGTCCAACCTCCGATACCTCAAGTTCTACATTTTCGACTCTCGCTCGGCATGCTAGACACGTGGTCTAGAATCTGAAGAGAAAGTCTAGCCCACCAAAATTACGGAGTCCGAGGTTATCATCGTTGTACACGCCTGTTCAACATGCGGGAAGTAGATTCCAGGGACTGGTTAACTCCCTGAGGGGATTTTGTCCATGGCGTCGAGGCCTAGGAACAGGTCAATGTCACCGCATTGTGAAAGCTGGGTGCATTATAGCGCCGTCCCGACCACCAAGCGATAAACGTCAGGAAGTATACTGTTTGGCATTTAACCTACCAGGGTCAGAAATACTGACAAAACGTCCTGCAATAGGCGGGGTCGAAGTTATTTTCACGTGGATCAATATGACTATACAGAGTTGAAAGAGTTTCGGGTATAATACACGGGGAGAGAGGGTACGCTATTTTAGCGCAAGGCATTATCGGTCCGGCACTCTGAATCAGAGCTGGTCTTTGAGAAATCCGGCGTAAGAGTTGTCTTGAAAACTTGGCCGGTCCCGTCCAAGATGACCACTTTCAGGGAGGGGACGTGCAGTATTGCAAAAATCTGTTTGACAATAGGAGCTATGGCGATTGTGCGCGGCGGCCGCGACTTCCAGACTCGGTGATAGACGATGCAGCCCTGTAAGAGCTCCTCTCCTTCTAGCGGTAGGTTAATCTTTGTAGCGTTAGGAGACTGCGAATTGTTCCAAATACGCGCTTTCGTCAGCGAGCAGGAGGTAAGTAGTCGGATTTGCACTACCCGAATCCCGTGACTGGCCTCGAGATGCCTGAATACGCCAGTGTAATTTACAGGACAGGGGGGAGTGGACACGAAAATAGAATATACTTAACTTTAAGAGACTCAATAATTGAATATGTGATTAGTAGACTGACCTACAAAAGTCGATGCCACTGATGACGGTTGTAGGCATGGTCGAATTAGGCGGCGTTGGAAGGAGCCACCTGGGTGAAAGGCCCTCAAGGCGTGAGTGGAGGCGGATGCGAACGGGTGAATCATAACGGAGACGTTGGAGTCTCCTTTCCTTACCTGTGATGCGTGAGAAATTCAGCAACCGGCCGGCTCCAGAAGGCTTTGCCGTGCTGCCAGACTGAATCACAGTCAATGGTCCTTACTTCGGAGTCCTTCGGGAGACGGTCTATTGGGTGGCTGGCAACCACCTCGTAAAAGGTCCGCCTCAAGCACTGAAACGCCGATAACCTGGCAGCGGGGGGAGTCAGCGGCTAAATGGAGACTGATCAGGTCAGGAAATGGGCAAGGGATTCTCTGCTTCAAACGCTGTGAAGAACACTGACCTCAGCGAGTTGGGCAGTAGTCGGATTGTCGGGCGGAGGAAAGGCAAGGACAAGATTTACATCATCACCACCCCTGCGCATGATGCCCTCTGGAGTGTGATCGAGATCGAAACAGTGCCCAAGTTCGTGCAACATTGTGCCAAGGCTAGTGGCGTAGTTGGCCCAAAATGTCCAACTTTGAGAGGAAAGATAGAAGAAAAAGGCTCACTTAAGGAAACAACCCCATAAGCCGTGGTAAAGTAATTTTAGGCGTACCGGTGAGCACTGTCATCCATAAAGCGCCGACGATCGACCTGCCGTGTGTCAGTCAGAACTGCTGCCAAATCGTCCAAGCATTCTGGCCAGATGTAGAGTGTGCCGGGCCCGAAAAGTGCGAGGCCACCAGCTCCTAGGAGGAAAGCAGGTGGCGAATAAATCTGCGTTATTTACGGCGGCGGTGGCGACTGACTGCTAGGCTTCCATGCTACAGTACCATTACTACTAATTGGTTTCTGTCGCTGTAGATTACACTTCCTACTGAGTAAATACAAGGTCAACCAGTTTCTGTCATGTGAATAAAGCCAAGCACACGGCGCATTTAACTTTAGTGGAAGATCGTCGTCGTTCTCAATAATTCGTAGTAACGTGAAATTCCAAGTAGCACTTACTTCACAGCAGCCAAGCACGTTGCCAGACGTCAGGCTGGGAAACGATGCGGCGATAATGACCACCTCTTATGTGTATCAGTCAACCGATAATGGTGAGTAACGAATAAAGTACATATAGTCCAGGCTTTCATATCCTCCGAAATGGAAAAACTTATGGACGATTAGCCCAGTAAGTGGTGAAAAAAGTTGAACGAAGTGGTCATTAACTTGGGCGCAGGGTTGGATCATTTTCCGTAGACGCCCATTTCCTTTCAATGGCGAAGTCCCCGAAGATGTTCAATACTCTCTTGTATAGAATAGGGTCCGCGTGAGTCATTTTTCAGGCGCTCTCTAGATATCAGATAGTCAATAAGAACCACGAAATGTAGTCTGTTGAAAAATTAAATAAGTTCATGGTTGCTTTTAAAGTAGACGACAACGCAGTCCTAGAATATTGATGACTTCGACAGACCACGAGAAAACAGGATAGCACTAGCAAAGGGGTTGGTGTCGTACTGTCCTCGATCATAGTCAGCAGTCGCTTGGGAAGATGAAGCCAGTCAGTTAGCCCTCCTACGGGCAATCCTGCACGTCTTGACATACTGAGACCTCGCCCTGGACCGATCGGCTTGGAGAAGAGTAGTAAAGACAAATCAACGAAGCTAAACGGGCCACCGTTCGCGAATCTCAAGCGTCTTTGACCTTCAACATCCGACTCCTTCAAACATGTCCACATTGCCAACGAACACTCCGCGCAGGAATCGGCCTTGTCGTGCATCTCCGGATCCAATGTAACAGCCCGACAACACCTGCTGCCTCCGCAAGCACCCCCATTGTCCCGCGACGACTGCCCCCACCGGTATCACTCCTGCCGTCGATGAGAACCCTGCTAACGCTCCGTCAACGACTACCCTCAACACCGGCAATGAGGACTCGGTCCCAACTTGTCCTTTTTGCGATCGAAACTTCACGCATCGGCATGACCAGTCACTTGCGAATCCATCGCAATGTGACCAGCAAACTGGAGCTCCGACCTCCACCCGTCACATCCCACTCAACTATCGACGCACATTCACGCACCGTATGGGCCTACTCAGCCACATGCGTATCCGCGACAGTGAAATTCACTTCAACATCAACATGACAAACGCACCGTGCACATCCGACAACTCTCCCACCTCCAGCATTGTCAACTCCCCCTCCACCACCGTCGTCAACACTGGTAGTATCAACATTGTAACCAACTAGGCAACTCCCAATCTATCTTCCCTATGCTTTCATCACATATGCACAGCACGCACCGGCCTAGTCAGCCACTTGCGAATCCATTACACAGAGACTGGCGAACCAGTGCCAGGAGCGCTAACATAGATCCGTCGCCGTCGCCTCAACTGTCCGCACTGCCCACGGCACATTCAACAATCACATGGGCCTACTCGGTCACATACACCTCCATGATAGTCTGCAGTAAACTACCGCAGGCCAAACCGCATCAGCATGCATTTCCCACCTGTCTATACAACATACACGAACCCACCTCATACCAGTCACCACAAGGACGGAAGCGCGTTCTTTACCTCCCTCTCCATATGGCCTCTATGGCACTCTAAGGAATGTACAATTACAGCGGTTCGCCCCTTTTTGCGAGTCTGTAGCCGTGTGTCGCACGCGTAGACAGACCGCCTAGCTCTGTCAATCATTGCGCCCGATCTAAGCATCAGTTGGTAGAGCGGCACTGACAATCGTTTGGTGCAAGGAATAGGGAAAGGAGAGCGAGGTCGACTCCGGAGATTACATCCTCATGACACTTCAGCGCATTCCTCCCCATTATAATCTGACGCTTAGATCTCTCATGACGCACTAAAAAGTCATGGCTTGAAAGGTTACCAACTAACGACTCCACTCAGACCTCGCAGTCAGCCCAGTGTGTGTTTGTGTGGAGCAGCTGGCTGGTGGACTGAGAGTCAGGTTCAGTTGTGACTTCTATGGCGCTCCCACACATCTGAAGTCTGAGCCGTCAACCCCATTTGTGTGAATAATGGGGGGCAGGTCATGTGTGGCACACCCAGACGGGCGGTTTAGCTTGGTCAACCACCGCGCCCGATCCTGCCTCCAGTCTTCTCGGCTCTGTCTTGACACCGGACCCAGGCGGATGGGGGAGGATAGTGCGGTTTTATGTAGCGCGAGTCCCCGTCCTTGCACTTACTATGCTGTAGAACACACAGTGAACATAGCCGGTAACGATTGCCGACTGTCAGATAACGAAACGACTTACATTGAAGGCTGATCGGGAACTAAAGACTCACGGATCTGTCGCTAATATAGTCTGTTTACATTTATCGTTATTACTTTGAAGAACTAGCGTCGGGGTTAGCAGCTTAAGTGCTTAGCGGTCATTTTTTTAGAGTACCATGAGAACAAGTCGAAAAGGGACGGGGAGCCGCAATACTGTGAACAGTGGAGGAAGACTTGCTAGAAAAGCAAAGCCCAGCCTTCAAAAAACTGGGCTGAAGCCCAATTTAGGGCCTAAGATGACTACAATTGCAGAACGTTTGTAGTAATGGCAGTTTCCAAGGGTCGCTGGAACGTTAATATGTCGATCGCTCATGCACGCCCCCTGCCGGAAGCAAAAGACCCAACCGACAGAGGGCTATTCCCACGTCAATTGGCGAGCACCAGGTTTTCCTGTATTAAGCGCATTATGGCCTGATCAGGTACTTATTAATAATGTATGCGTGCTCGACTATTGTTTCAAACCCCAACACGCATAGGAGCAAAACACGATCGGCCACGACAAAACAGTGTTGAGACCTGCAAGTTATTCTCACTGAAAAACTGAGTGTACTCATAACATACCGTTCAGGTTACTATAATTTTGTCCAGTACATTTCACTTTGACCAAACTGTGGAAAACTCAGCGCATCGGTGGGATTCGAACACATGACTGTGAGGGCAAGGCTTGTGTAAGGCCAACGCTCTGACCGCGTGAGCTGCAAGGCCCCATCGGCAGACGTGAGTTTGACCACATTTGGATCAATTTACTCGCCCAACCTACTGCAACGTCTGGGATCCACCAAATCTGATACAGCAAGCTGACTGTCCAGGCATGCAAAAGCCCCATGGAAAGAACGGACAATGGAACGATAAGTGACCGATTAGAATGTACCTGAACGCCCGTGCTTTTGCAACTGCTGACCCAGGTCATGATTAGACGGCAGGCATTTTGCAGTATTCTCGTATAGATAGCCAGCCGGTAGCAACATGAAAGATCCTTTCGTTAATAACAATAGTATTCGAAGGTGAAACGGGCCACCTCTGACTCAGCGGTGAGACTTATGTTATAAAGAGGCGTAGATTATAAAGGTCTACTGCCTTTCTAGAAGTACGACTTACAGCGGATTGTGCCGTCCTGTGCATTGACACGGTTAGCTTGATATATAAAGGCCGAGGTTAAAGCGGTTACATCAGGATAGTGTTGCTATGCTGATCATATACCTGACTGCCACGAGGCGACGCGTACTAACTACAAATCCCGGATCACCGAGGAACAAGAGTAATTGTGTTAGCTGGCTTATTTGGAAACCACAAAAACAGACGAGAGGGCATCGGTTCATCAAAAGCGGTTCTAGTGGTTGGGAAGCGATGTGGATGAAATAAATGAAACTCACAATATGTCACTAAGTGGGACAGGGAAAATTGCCTGTTAGCTCGAAACAACTGAATTAGGTTTCTGGTCCCGGCCTTCTGGTAACAGTTGTCTCAAACTCGAGCGCCTAAAGCATAACAACCGACCTGCTGTGACCATCTGTCGAGCTCTCAGCTGATCACTGTGGTGGTGACACCGGAATAATTTCAACGGCTTCGTAGACACTAAAGAATCGAGATACCGCCGCTGCACCGGTAACCACAATAGGGTGGTATGGGGGGAAGAAATTTATGGAATGACTATTCTTTTGCAAAGGCATCATTCTGAAATACACTGCGACACTTAGTAGCAACAATAGAACATTTTAATCTCATAGAAGACATGATAGTTGTGACTGTTTGATTTGCCAACATACCTAACGCACAATGACCCGAAGAATGATGAATAATTTCTTCGTGTGTGAAGGGTGTCGGTTCCGATGCCTCCAGAGGCTTATACCTGGCACAACTGAGGACGACCAGCCACTTGGCATTTGGCAGATCATGTGGAAATTTTCTGATCAAATCATGAGCCACTCTGGCCCAAAGTTCCTTGGGAGGTAGTTCAAGGCATTGGCTGAGAGAAAGAGATGACTCTATGCACCAAACCGCAGCACATGATGCGGAGGCTGGAATAGTTGGCGAGGGAGTTCCAGGTTTAACTTCATCTTCGGCACATGTAAACGTTCGTCTTATTCCCACTTCCGCGTAAATCGACTCGGCGAGTATAGACTGCAAGAGCCGTACAGCCAAGCCGATACGTTTGCATGCACTGAGGGGTGAACAGTCTACATCGGCTGGCGCTTGAAATTTTCCGCCATCACCGGCAAATGTCATGTAAACAGGTCTGACATATGGAACACCGGCGGTCTTCAAGTAATGCAGATGTAGAGAGATAGAATGGTGAGAGCAGGCCACAGTTAACTCGTTCATACCGTGAAGGAGGGGCATGAGGGCTTTAAAATGTCGGGCTGACAAAGTAGATTTAATCACGAAACTGTTGGGTATCGGATCTGAAATTCTTACAGTTATTCGACTGCAATTGCAGCAGCCCCCAACGCTGCCCTTGAGGAGCAATAAAGGATAGCACACTGTCATCCCATCATACGCGTTACACAGTTTGATCATCGACCCAGAAAAGTTGTATTTGGCTCTCTAAAAATAAAATATGAGGAAGTAGCACACGCTGGAAGGCATCAAGAAGGAAACGGGTCGCAAGGAATTTGTTGCGGAAGTGCGAAGAGGACAATATGAGAATGACGCACTTGCACGGGAAAAAGAAGTCTTCAGGTGGACGAAATCAAAGTAGCCGAGCGACCAACTAGACAGCATTGTCCACTGAACTCGTCCTCCCCTCCTTGTCTAAGGAAGACCACATACTTTACCCAGTAGATGGTCTAGTGATGCGTATCAGCCAGTCACTGGTCGGCGTATAACTGACGGATAATCTCAAAGCTAGCATACGAGCGCCATTTCAAGTCGACCAGCCCACTTCCTAGAGAAAGATGAGGGGTTCTAACTGACAGTGAGGTGTATAGTCACAATGGAATGCGAGTTACAACAGAACGGTGTAACAACAGCAGTCAGTAGGGGGTTTTAAGACGACTAATATAGTTAATTGGCTATGGGTCGGTCTGGAAAGATTGGATTTCCGTCGATGGAATCCTGAAAAGATGTGCTGAAGGTCGAGAGTGAATACAACACGGTCCAAGCTGTCCTTATACGTCTATCCGCCAATCGACTTATAAGTTGCCAGTAGACGTCATCACTACGACCCCGTCGGCTTGGGCTTCCAACGGTGGGCAACCAAATTTTTTTCCAAGGCATTGGGACGCAGTGGTTAAGCAATAGACGACGCGCTAAGAAATAAGTAATTGGCACTGGAGATTCCACCCACTATAACAGGGCACGAAGATTCGTCACCTATGATGCGGCCACATGTTTAACATACCGCACACATCTAATTGTTTAGATTCGCTCCTTTCACGTAAATACCGAAAGCCCCCGTTTAGTCATCATTTGGATGTTCTGTAATAGTCTTCACTGAAGGTTTCGCACGATTGTCGGTAGGCCGTACTTCATGGTTAATCATGTCTAATTTTAGAGTTGCGAAAATTAACATGGCGGTAATTAGAAGACGAGGTGGCAAGCATACGTTGTTTTCGATAAATTCTCAACGGGCCAGTGCAGTTATATGGGAACGGGGTAGACGTAAAAACATGTCAGCGATAAGAAAAATCCATAAAAGCTCTCCCTAAAACACAGGCGGGGTGTGGGAATGTGGGGAAGGGGATAGAATCAGTCAGTGTCAGGGAGGACAACATGCGCGAGAATGGCACTGCTTATGCTCCTCGTTTAGCCTTTTCCCAGTCATGCCGGGAGGTGTTACCGGCATAAGCAGCGCCATTCTCGCGCATGTTGTCGATTGCGGACATCGTGTGGACTCAAACAAAGCTTTTCGTGTAATTTATAAGGTCCCGTCGAGCTACCCTAAGCTACTAGGCCAGCGCCTGTTAGCGACATCGGAAGCGGCCGCCATTCGGCTACGAAAGCCAATCTTATGCGCACAGAAGAACGACGTTCAGGTTCCGCGCCTACAGTGATCGAAGGTCGACTAACGCTGAAACACTCCGCGCCCTCCCGCTCTCCCCCCGTCCCTGACACTGAATGGTTTTACACCCCTTCCCCACATTCCCACACCTCGCCTATGTTTTAAGGAGAGCTTTTATCGATTTCTCTTATCGATGACATGTTTTTACTTCTACCCCGTTCTCATATAACTGTACTGGCCCGACGAGAATTTATAGAAAGCAACGTACGCTTGCCACCTCGTCTTCTAATTACCGCGATGGGAATTTTCGCAACTCTAAAATTAGACATGATTAAGCATGAAGTACGGCCTACCGAGATGCCATTAAAAGTGCCTTTAAACGGGCATATGAACGCTTACTTAAACGCAGTATTAAATCCAACACAAACAGTGAGTCTATTCCTAATGTGATCCATAAGGTACCTGTATCATACATACTTTTGCATTATTGCAATATTGGTGTTTTACAAAACTTACCAAGTTTTCATCTTAATATGGAAATAAACAGCAAAATTTCAGCCATTTTAAACAATGCACTTTTACAATGACTTTCGAGTATGCCTCTCTCCCCCACTTGGATAGAGCCTTATGTTCGTGGGTGTTTCCTTTGCAGATTCGCAACATGGGGAAGATGAGGCGGCCCGTCATCGTATCCATAGTAGCAGACGGATATCGAGTCGATATACATTGTAGTGGCGGACAATTTCGTATTTGGTGGGAAGTCGAGATAAAAGAGAGGCCGATTTGCAGTGCCGAGCTTCCGACGTGTCATCTTCTTTGTCTTACACACCAGAACGGGGATCCAAGCGTGCTTGAGAGGACGGCTCCAGTGGATATACTTTATCCCCCTGACCTACAATAGGAAAGTATTCAATAATCCCTTTTGGCCACACGTTACCCACAAACTTTGTTGGGACTGTATGTTCTCTAGACTCCTATCCTCTATCTTACGATATGAATTTCTTGTATCCGGACAGTTCTTCTCCTAGTGAATGCTGCGCTGGCCTGAGTGACGCTGACAACCGGCACAATACAGGATTGGCGCACAGATCTGGGTAAAATTCTATCTTAGAAGGAGGATCAACCACGGAGGTTGATACAACAAAGGGGGCAGGGCAGGTGAGCGGCTCGTCTACAATAGTGGTGGCAGCACACCGACCCTACCCATCGTCATTACATCCCACAGATGCTTACGATCCATCAACACACACTGTCCCCATGCCGCTGTATTACGTCAAGGAAGCGTTCTCTGTTTGGCTCCGGAGAGCCAAGTTCTACCTTTAAGAGGTTACGACGAACAATAAATTTCGTACCCTGCTTAAGGCCCTCGCGCCTAAGCAATTAGACAAAGCGCTGGGCGATGAACTACACGATGAAATGCTATTCGACACCCTTTGCCAACGGTTCGGAAATGTGTTCGGGCACACACACACATACGCTAGGAGAAGCCATCCACCACTCACACAAACGACGTCTTGTGCCCGGCGAATCGATTAACCAGCTAGTCGAGGAGATCGAACGGCTTACAGCAGTAGCCTTTTCAAAGTTAACAACGGCATTTATAGAAAACGTAGTCCTCCGACCAGGGCCGTCTTAATTAACACAGACATGGCATTAAATAATATGAGATTCAATGTGTTTCGATCAATATGGCTGTTATTGACAGTATTCTAAAAAAATTGGAGATGAATATGTAAGCTGTAAATTGTGGTTATTCGGGAAATAAATATCAGTGAGTTCAGAATTATTAACAAAGGGTTAGTCTGCAAGAAAAGACTGAGCGGGAGACCTAAAGGACGTAGGGGCAGAGTATTCAGACGCTGGAATATTAGGCATGTTAGAACAGAGGTAGACTTGTTCGTAGATGACTTTGGGGAAGAGGTGGAGCATTAGGAGGAGGGAGCCTAGGATAAAGGTTGAGACTTGCGGAGGAGGGTAGACAGTTAGAAAAATTAAAAGAGGGAAGACCAAGCCCAAGATGGAAGTCAAAGGAGTTGGGTTGACTTACGTGAGAACAATTGACCTTAAGTAGTTGGACACCTGAACTTGGTTGGGGTATAAACAAATTAAGGCTATTCAGCTAAGGGCTATTTACAAGAGAGATAGTAGGGCTTTGGTATGGAACCGGTGAGCAGGACAGAGAAGTATTTGGGGGCGCAATAGGGACTACGGGATTCACAGACGAATCCGGCTGTAAAGGCTTAGTAGATCTAAGATAAGGCGGAATACCACTGAATGGAGTTATGCTACCTTTCTTTTGGGTAAGATTGGGATCCAGTTTTGGATCACATCATTCTGATGCCCTGCTACAGCTGACTTTAATGGAGAACTCGGAGTACCTTAAGGTAGTGGGGACGCTATCGGTTTAGCTGAGGTGGACGGATTTTCGTACGTTCTAGGATGGCTTTCAGGCAGATTAGGAACGATAACTGGGGCTGCTGCTAATTTGGAGGCAGACGAAGACGGTATGTGGCTTTAGTGGGAGGGAGGTGTAGGATTAAGATGGGATAGGGAAACGGATTTCGCAGGAATACGATTAACTGAATTCTTACGGTTACTTTTAATACAACCGAGATGGTGGGCCTTTGACTGAAAAGACGATGAATTATGTGAGAGTAGGAACCTAATTATAAGCTCCATAGGGGTATGATTTCGATAAACGAAAAATTTCATGTTTTTCAGATACGCAGAGAGATGCTCTCGTTGGGAATGAATTGAACCAACATCAGTTGTTGAAGACAGCTTACCTAAAAAGGGTAGATAGGTTGCTACGGGAAGTCAGGCGTTTGACATCCGCTAGTTTATAGTTTCATCCACACGAGTACAGGACATCAACCGCAACACCAACTGGCCGTGCAAAGAAAGGAAAATTTTCACAAAGAAGTTATAATCCCTTTTTGCCTATTCCTTGATTCACTGGCAACGAGGTGAACGAGTGAGACAAGATGCTCGAATTCTTGAGACAAAACATTGAAAATATTCTCGTCAAACAATTTCCCCAGAATTCAGAGCATAGCGCCAAACTTCAGCATAAAATCGTCGCAATTATAAAGCGCAGGCAGATCAAGATGCCTGTCAGTAAAAACGGGTGACCAAATGACCATTAATGCTTTCCGACCTGGATTTAATCGAGCCATGCCTAGGTATAGAGGCCGAAAGCTTTCACCGGCCTGTGAATTTTGCTCTTTTCTTATTTCGAGGTAGTTAACGATTAATTAAATCTTCTAGCAGATCTGATAACCGGATTTCAGCAGGGGGTTTAGGCTGTGAATTAAATATACGCGGCTAGAGACTGTTCGAATGCAAAAATGCGAATTGTAAAATGCGACCATTAGTCAGCTGGTGCAGTCTGGCAAAACCCGAAAGTGAAGGTGCAGCCGATAATTTCAAAAGAATAGGCCTGTATTTAAATAACTTTATTCAAAAAACAAAACTTAAAGTCTCTGTGTCTCCTAGAAAAATCACTTTAAATAATGACTTCCGCTTATCTTTTAATTTAAAACCAGCGGCTCGCAGTTGGATTGTTGAGACGATTGACCATATAGTGGATTTTTAGACATCGGCCACTGGTACTCATATTAGTCGTGAAAGTGGGCAGCGTTATGTTGGTTAGGCTGTCAGAATAACTGCGTTTCGCCAAAGAAATGTTCCTTTGACTTGGACTACTCGGTCGTCCCTTATTTTTAGGTGTGTTTCGCCGTTGTCCCTCCGCTTTTTTAGTTCCATAATTAATTGGCTCATTTTCACTCTCCGTTCCGAGTGGAGGATCAAGTTGTTCTGTCGTGTGGCGACCTTCCCCGTTACGGCCCTGAGCGCATCGTGATGATTTAAGGGTGCTTCAGATTGTTTTAAATGGGGTAATACGCCGGGTACGGTGAGCACAATCGCCTTATAACTTGAAAATTTCCTCCTTCTCTGGAAATTTATGTTTTGCTTCGGTAATCCTTCCGCAAAATAGAAAAGCCTTAGTCGGATGTGTATATAATCCTCCTTGTTCCTCCGGAAATGAAAGCCAACTCTGTGAACTCTTTGAAAAATTTGAGAAACTTCTTTCGATGTCAAGATAGTCGTAAGCGATTTTAATTTGCCAGAAATTGACTGGCACACACATACTTCTCCTCCTAAATTCCAGAAGCTGCTTGACACAATTTACTTTTCAAACCTGACTCGATTAGTTCACTCTTCGACCAGAAACGATAGTGTTTTAGACTTAATTTTTACTAATGGCACCTTCCCTTTATCTATGGATTTTTATCATGACCTCTTTGCAAGTGATCATGCATTAATCCATTGTCGTCTTCCAGTTGCCGTTTCCGCAAAGCCAACAGTTCAACGTAGTATTTTTGACTTTGCTAATGTTAACAAGGAATTAGTAAATAACTTTACATGCACTCTTGATCGGCACAATATTTTTTCAAATAATAGAATAGAATAGAATGGGTTTATTGTAGCGCCCCTTGGACACTGTCAGTCCCCTTTGAACTGAGGAAAAAAACCTAAAACAAACTCGTCAATTTCAACTGCACTTTGACTTCATTTGCTTCGGGTGTCTGGTTAGCCAAAAGAGCGCGAATTGAGAGTTTGTTTTAAGTTAGAAAAAACCTCAGTTCTAAGGGAAAATAATAACAAAATTTTCAAAAAATAACGATATGTACAATATAAAAATTGAAGTTTGCAGTTTGGTAGTTTTCGGGGGCATGAATAATATGTCCTTCATGGCAATTGAAGAACTTTGATATCGGCCTGACCTTGAAATTATTTTCCTGTTGGGTAAATTTCGGTGTGCTCTAGTTGCTGGTTGTCAGTCTATCTGGCCAGCTGTAAGGGGGCGGTCGCACAGTTCCTACGTATTTTTCAGGAGGCTTACCATCGTTGTCTGGACTAAGAGCTGGAAAAGATGAATATATATCAGGAGTAAGAAGCATTCAATGGTAAGTCACAATCAAAACTGTCAAAATACTATTGAATCATGTATCATATTGTTCTTGTTAATGAGAAATTATAGGAGTAGTGGTCGACTGTTTACTATGACATAATATAGTTCTATATATATTTAATATGGCTTTAAAATAGACATACGCACGACTAATATGCAGGGTTTTATCGAAATTTTTTCAACAATTTATTACAATGCGTAACAGAAGGTCTTCTTGACCTTATTCCTCGGAAGATGTTCAAACCGAGTGCTAATTCCACCGCTATCCCACACTTTCTTAAAAACAGACTTAAAAAGTTACGGAAGCAGTTTAAAGATCCTTCTGTGAGTTCATTATCAGTTCATCTAAGAATCGTTGAAATATTTGAACTAGCTTCGAAAATGAGGCTCGAGCGAGATAGGCGTAGAGAGTCTTTAGCTATTAATGACGTGAATGCTTCTAAATCAGTTGCTCAGATCTTCCGTCAGAGATCATCTGCTAAGTCCCACCAAGTCATTCCGCCCTTGCTTAGTGCTAGCGATGCCTTCATTACAGAGGAGTCAGGCAAAGCAGAAATTTTAAATTCGTTCTTTGCCAAGCATTTCACCATTGAAACTGATCCGATCCCTTTAATTCCTTCGTTGTCTGATGCTTCTCTTAGCTTCATTAATTTTTCTCCTGAATGTATTCAAAAACTGATAAGCCATCTTCCTAACTCTCACTCAGTAGGTACGGACAATATCCCAAACTCTTTGATAAAACAGCTAAGAGATTTTCCTCCTCTGCTTAGCAAAATCTTTTCAGTATTTCTCGTAAATGGCTTCTTCCCTGACTATTGGAAAACTTCTATTATTATTCGAGTATTTAAGTCTGGCTGTCGTTCTGACGTACAGAACTATCGAGGTGTCCATAAAAAACCCTCTCTCGCCAAAATCTTTGAAAAAATTATCGCCGTAAAAATTACCGAATTTTGCATTGCCAATCAAGTTATTAGCCCTTCCCAGCATGGTTTTTTTTACCAGATCGCTTTTGTGAAACATGTCATCTGTCGTTTCTCGATCTACTTACCTCTCTTCGTAATGATCACCTATCTGTTGTCGTTATTTATTTTGATCTTAGTAAAGCCTTTGATAAAGTTCCACATAAAAGACTCTTGATTAATTTGGAAGCTATGGGAATTCGCAGTCCACTAATAGACCTGCTCAGGTCATACCTGTCTAATCGTAAACAAAAGGTTTTGGTGGGATCTTCACTTTCCAGTGAAAGTCCTATTGTAAGCGGTGTCCCACAAGGTACCGTTTTAGGTCCTCTTTTGTTCTCGCTTTACATTAATGATATTTCAGCAGCAGTTAAACATTCTCAATCATTTATTTATGCCGATGATCTCAAATGTGTATATTCTTTCAAAAACTCTACGAGCCTTCATTGCCTGGAGCAAATCCATGCTGGCTTGCTTGCTCTCTCAGCTTGGAGCTCAAAATGGCTAATGGAATTCTCTCCGTCTAAATGTCGTTATATGTGTTTTGGACCTGATAGGCTACCCCAGCCAGTGGTCTTTCAAGGCACACCTGACAGTTCGACCATCGGTTTCGATGATGTCCACCGTGTGCCCCACAGTTGCAGCAGCAATGGGATCAGGGACGGTGACTTACGCAGGGGTTTATAGTGCCGGTAGACTTGCGTAGCATCTACCTACACTCTCTCCTCCTCCCCCGCCTGGACCCGGTGTCAAGACAGAGTCAAGAAGACCGGAGACGAGGGAGGCCGCAGGTGGATGGCTCGGACGGATCCTCACCTTGGCGTTCCACCACACCCCCTGGTCCACACAGCAATAACCAGGATTTCAACCAACACAACAGAGCTTTGGAGGCTGGCACGGCCGAAGCCGCACCTGGGCGTGCCGCCAACGCCTGGCTCGGATCCCACACTGTGGTGGGAATGCCATAAAGGCCACATTAAAAAGGAGCCATTGCAGCCTGACTCTCAGACCGCCTCCAGTGAAGGAGGAGGTCCAAGGTACCCCGTCAGTTGGCAACCTTCCAAGTCACGGCTTTCAGCGCACCGTGATAGCTTCCAGCGCGTCAGATTGTTTATAGTGAGGAGAAAGTGCGCTGAGTCGTCGACCTCACTCTCCCTTCCCATCCCCACACCCCAGCCGCTGTCCGAGCCGGTCAGAAGACTGGAGTGGGGAATGGGCGCGGTGGCTGACATGGTCGACTGACCATGTCTGCGCGCGCCACAGCACGACCTGGCCCCCCATACACACACAAACACCAGGATTTCACACAACGGGGGTTGAACGGCGTGTCTCTCACTTGCGTGAGTGGGCCGTGAAAGGTGCTGTTTCAGCCCGTCCCCAGCCCACCAGTCCGCCACTCCACACAACACACACACACAACGCGACGAACTGCGTGAACCGAGAGCGGGCGTCAATCAGCAACCTTCCTATCCACGACGCTTGACGTGTCGGGATAGTCTCGGACTCAAGTCACCCGTGCAGCCGAAGCCGCATGGGGACCGAGTCGAGATGCACACTTCCCACTTGCGTGGGAGGTGGCAGTTGGGTGCATGAGGTGTGTGAGTGTTGATTTCTGGTGGGGTGATGGTGGTGGTGGTGGTGGAGGAGATAGGGAGTGAGTGAATGTGTGGTGTGGCCGGCGGTTGTCTACCGCAGGTCGTCGTGGATGCGCATGTGGCCGAATAGGCTCATGCGATGCCTGAAAGTGCGAGGACAGTGTGGGCAGTTGAGACGAGCTTGATGGGTATAGGTGGGTGCTCCAGGCACTGGTTCGCCAGTCTCTGTGCGATGGATTCGCAAGTGACCGACCAGGCCGATGCGCGAGTTGAAGGTGCGTGGACAGTGTGGGCATGAGAAGTTGGCGGTGTCAGTGTCAGCTACAGAGGAGGCGGTGGTGGTGGTGGCGGTGGTGGTGTCGCGGACGGATGGAACAAGAGTGGGGGTGTGCACGGTGGATGTGTTGGATGTAGTGGGTGTGTCGGGAGTGCGGTCAAGGCCGCTCTCGTGGATGCGCATGTGGCCGAAAAGGCCCATGCGATGCGTGAAGGTGCGAGGGCAGTGTGGGCAGTGGAGGCGAGTGCGGTGGGTGTAGGTTAGTGCTCCAGGCACTGGTTCGCCAGTCTCTGTGCGATGGATTCGCAAGTGACCGACCAGGCCGATGTGTGAGGTGAAAGTACGGTCGCAGTGAGGGCAGGTGTAGTCCTGATCCTCATCCCTGGAGTCGGGGAAGGTGGTGGTAGTGTCGGTTGCTGTGCGTGGGACAGTCGCCTGAGAGGCCGCCGTTGGAGCAGTGGGCGAGGAGGAGGAGGAGGAGGATGAGGAGGATGATGGAAGTGGTGGGTTAGTTGGCGGCGGAGAGGAGGAGGGAGAGGCAGGCGGGGGGACGATGGTTGGTGCCGTTCGAGAGGCGCAGTTAATCCGAAGATGTCCAAAAGTCCGATTCGAGCCCGGAATGTCCGTTGACATCGAGGACACGTTGGAAGCGGTTGTGCGGCGGCGTTGCTTACTGGGCGAAGTTGTGATTTGCGGGCTTCACGTTTCGCTTTGGCGGCAGCGATGCGGTTGGCTTCGTAGATCGCAGCGCCTGTCTTCACTGTCCTCCTCCAGGTCGGTCGATCGAGTGCGAGCTCCTCCCAGTTGGTGGGGTTGATTTGCAGGCATTTCAGGGAGGACTTCAGGGTATCCTTGTATCGACGAATTGGGCCTCCTTGACGGCGAGAACCCGTCGCGACGTCTCCGTAGAAGAGTCGTTTGGGTAGTCGCTCGTCGTCCATGCGCACCAGGTGGCCGCTCCAGCGCAGCTGAATTTGCCTCAGTATGGCGTAGATGCTGAGGATTCCCGTCCGTTCCAGCACATCAGTGTCGGGGATTCGATCCTGCCACTTCAGCCTCAGGGTGCGACGAAGACAACTGAGGTGGAAGTGGTTCAGACGACGTGCCTGCTTTGCGTACACCGTCCAAGTCTCCGCTCCATACAGTAGCGTCGGCAGGATGACGGCCTTGTATATCTTCAGCTTCGTGCTCAGTTGGAGACCATGACGATTCCAAACTGTGCTTTGGAGACGACCGAAGGCTTGACTGGCTTTCGAGATCCTGTTGGTGACTTCGTCGTCGATCTTGGTGTTGCGGGAGAGAGTACTGCCCAGGTACGGGAAGTTCTCCACCACTTGCAGGTGGGTCCCATTCACGCTGATTTGCGGCGGCGCGTTGGGGGCTGTGGCCGAGTTGGGTGGCGGTTGGTGCATCACCACCGTCTTCTGTGTGTTGATGACCAGACCGAAGTTCTCGCAGGCGGC